GGCTCGCTGATTTTCGCGACCCGATTGAAAGACAAGGATGACAAGGATTTTCGCATGAGTTATGCAGGAAATATAGAAGTTTGTTTGATCGAGGCTTTTTTTTACGTGCGAGTAATTAAGGCAAGCTCAAAAAGAGACTCTTGAATAAGAAACGAATAGTAGAGCACGGTCAGATCATTAGAATATTCCGAAGCACAGCGTTGCATTACTTGTCACCATAACTAAAGATTAGTTAGCCTGTGTGGCAGGCGCAAAAAGGGTACAGGTTCTATTGAAAACGTCATTACAGTGTTATTAGTTAGTTGAACACGTTGGCGGCCGAAGCTGAAACATTGTTGACATGATATATAGGTCATAAATTACTCACCAGGGCGCTGAAAAAGCTGATTATATAACTATATTTTTATTTCAAAAATAAGTATTATTTGATCTTATCTTTGTATTTATCCAATATATATATGCACGTATTGAGTAACTAGCATAGTTGCCAACCAGCAGCTTACACACAACCAAGACTGAGGACCAGCGTACGGTAGACGGTATCACGCTTATGCTTGGTCTAATGGATAAAACAAAGGATATACCATAAAAAGAAAAAGAGAGAGAAATGAGGCCTCACAATACTCAGCACTTCCTTGAAAGAAACCACAGTCATCCTTGGTCGGGCTACGCTCGAACGAAATCCAGTTTTGTTTCTACAGAAATTCCTTATTATAGGAAATTGACGATGCACTTTATTAACGCGATTTTTTTAAAAATCGCGTTAATTTATAATTAACGCATCTTGATTTACGTCGATGTCGCCTTATTTTACATCATTGTGGTTTTACAGCACCTTTATTTCAACAACAAAACCTCGTCTGCTCATAGTTCCTCTATCAACGCCTCGGTGTCACTATCTGACAGTCCTTCTTCAGAGGCTTCAGAGGTCTTCAGAGGTCATTTGGTCGGAATATACTAGAATTATTAGTGTATTATCTGTTGCCAAATAAATGCAAAAAGTCTTAATGATATGAAGTCTTCTTGTTTGTCTATCTGTACTAGTAGCCTTTAAGATAACGAAAATCGATATCTCTTGCATTATAACATGTGATCATTCGGGCCCTTATTATTCGAATTTTATAACATGTATTCGAATCTACAACGCTAAAAAAAAAAAATCATGATCACGCGAAATATTGATTCAAAAAGCTCCCTTCCCTTTAGTTCATAGCCACTCTGTGTCCTACGGTCGGTTTAAACGCCGTTTAGTCGACTTTTTTTCCATCGAATACTGAACACTATAAAAGAAGGGAAGGCTGGAGACCTTCCAACCGACCCTCGCCGCTCGAAGGCCAACAAATTCCAAACAAAGCGACCGATCTCCCTAAAATTGTCACCAGCCAGACCGAAGAGTGTATACCCACCCGTTCGACGAGCACCAGGTTCTAAATTCGGCTGCATGAGCTCGAGGAGCGCTGCATTTCGCATCGATTCTGGCCAGCTTCGCTTCGCCATGATGCGCAATCTGACTGTTATCCTACGAGATTTGAATCTTGGAACTTGGCGACCGCGTCAGATCGACAAACCGTCACTCTCGCGGGGGAGGGTCGTCACTTTTGCCCTATCGCAAACCGACACCGACATAATTATTAGAATTTGTTTCACTTACCATATTTTCCACTCTTCTGAACAGCCAAAATATTTTTTTTTCTTCTTCGGAGGAAAATCCTCCTATTGTCTGGCTACTTTTGATAACATCTTTTATAGTGTTCAGTATTGGATGGAAAAAAAGTCGACTAAACGGCGTTTAAACCGACCGTAGGACACAGAGTGGCTATGAACTAAAGGGAAGGGAGCTTTTTGAATCAATTTTTCGCGTGATGATTTTTTTTTCTTAGCGTTGTAGATTCGATTCGAATACATGTGATAAAATTCGAACAATAAGGGCCCGAATGATCACATGTAATAATGCAAGAAATATCGATTTTCGTTATCTTAAAGGCTACTAGTACAGATAGACAAACAAGAAGACTTCATATCTTTAAGACTTTTTGCTTCAAAAATAAGTATTATTTGATCTTATCTTTGTATTTATCCAATATATATATGCACGTATTGAGTAACTAGCATAGTTGCCAACCAGCAGCTTACACACAACCAAGACTGAGGACCAGCGTACGGTAGACGTTATCACGCTTATGCTTGGTCTAATGGATAAAACAAAGGATATACCATAAAAAGAAAAAGAGAGAGAAAATGAGGCCTCACAATACTCAGCACTTCCTTGAAAGAAACCACAGTCATCCTTGCTCGGGCTACGCTCGAACGAAATCCAGTTTTGTTTCTAGAGAAATTCCTTATTATAGGAAATTGACGATGCACTTTGTTAACGCGATTTTTTTAAAAATCGCGTTAATTTACAATTAACGCATCTTAATTTACGTCGATGTCGCCTTATTTTACATCATTGTTGTTTTACAGCACCTTTATTTCAACAACAAAACCTCGTCTGCTCATAGTTCCTCTATCAACGCCTCTGTGTCACTATCTGACAGTCCTTCTTCAGGGGCACCCAACGTTAATTTTCGGAAAACATCTGTTTGGAAGACGATTTGAGATCTAGAATTTTCGGAACATTTGTTGTAAAATTTCTTGCTTGCCTGCCTCTCCCTAGGATTTTCGAACATCTAAAAAATGGTATAATTGCCAATTTTAAAGGATTTTTATCCTAAAAAGGTCACCTAGAATTTTCGGGAACCTTTTTTTTTGGCTGAAATCAGTTCGAAAAGGTAAGTTTTGATCCCTATAATTTTCGGATCACTAGACGGGAAATCCGAACAGATAAAAAATTTTAGGGGATAAAAATATACCTATATCTACCGTTTAAATACTAAGATACGTTTAACAATGCTATGTTTGAGTGGTTTTGAAGTATACTCTCGTTGGGTGCCCCTGCTTCCTTAAGAATTGAGTTCATTAAGTGTGATTGATCCGTTTCTCCGAGGGGAAAGCTAACTTCTTCAGTTTTCTTCTTAAAATTTCCATTTACGTTCACATGTTTTTTTCCTTTTGATACTGTATGTTGAGAAGTTTGTTATGCAGCAAACTCGCATAAAATAAAGTTAGGCGCACATTGTCTTCGAAAATTTCGCGTTAATTTGATGTTTTAAGTTGTGTAACGTAAAGTTTGTTCGCGTTGCCAAAATGCATCGTTAATTTCGTATAATAAGGTACATCGAATTAAAACCAAACCATCAAGGCAAGGGCAAGGGAGAGGTAACTGACTGAGTGACTGCGTGATCATCATTTTCCACTAGAAATCATGCATGCACCATTCTAAAAACCAGAGGAAGGAACTGACATTAGTCAATTGATATATCACGGACTATATTTACGTGCCCTCCGTCGGCGTGACGGTCACTCCTCCACAAGCTGCCAGTACCTAGCGGAAAAAAAAAAAAGAACAAAAAACAAACGACTACTGACTGAGTCGAAATAAAACAAAACAAATGAACTCCACAAAATCTGAACTCGGCAAAAAGTTTCCTGAGTTCCAGCTAGAGTCAGGAAGACTCAAATCTAGCAGAGTATAGTAAATGGAGAAGTAATTGATTTTTCCATTTTTAGCCTTTCGAAGCCTTTTTAAAGCGTTTGGTAAACATCAGCAAATAATGAGTAAGGCCTACAGAAAACAAAATATCTTTTTTTCTGTAAATGGTCTGATCGAAGGCAAACGGCAAATGTTGCCTAGATTAAAAGTTTCTAAAGCACGAGAAAGGTTGTTTCCTGGATATTTTTTTTTTCTATTCGTTTAAGATATTGGGATTTTTTTAAACTTAATATGAAAGTCATTCTAAAATATTCTGGATATCCGCTCTAACGTTAACAAGGTCTAAGATATTCGAAGTTTTTCTTCTAACTTCAACATTTCACCAAGATATTTCGATTATTGTTGGAAAAATAAAGGTCTCCTAAAAAATTTCGGTAGAGCTAGAAGGCGTCTCGATCTTTGAAAATTTTAACTAACTGGCTTACTGTTTCGTCTGGACCCAGCTAACAATAATATTCTTTAATGTTTTGAATTGTGATAAAAAAATAAACTAGAAAATTGGCGTCGATGTATATTTAAATCTAAACCACCCTGAGACTAGCGAACGTAGGGTCTGGCTGGCTTAAACTAGCCATCGGTAAAATACTAACCTGAGATCAGGCCCATTTTTAGCGGTTCTGATACATCCTCTCTAACGGCTACTGTCTGTTTTCGTTTCGCCTTGCCCGCCGGAAAGTTATTACAAAGCGAAACGAAAATTGAGCCTGATCTCAAGTTAGTAAAATACACTTAAAATGTAAAAGTGCTACAATATAGCTGATAGTTAAAAGATTTTAAGTAGCCAATCAGATGGCGATAAGTTAAGCTTGCGCTAAGTTTTATAGTTCTATTGGCACTGATATTGATCGTTCGGAGTACACGCAGTAAGCCAGTTTGTAGCATAAGCAAGCAGATTACGGATGCGTCGAGATTATAGGCACAGTGCAGATACAAATTTGCCCATCCCACCACTTCCACGAATAGTCTTCTAGCCTTTTTGTTGTTTCAGGCTGTTCGGGTTGTTTGTATTTTTTTTGATAATTTGACTCGGTAGTTTTAGGTATTTGTTTTTATCAGTTCAGTCTCTGGTGTGAGTACTTGCATTAAGTGTTTTTGTTGTAACAAAGATTGTCTGGGTCCCAAAGCGTGTGTGTCGAAAAAGCCAACTGAAACTTCGGAATCTACCAAAGTACCCCTACATTATTTTTTTACGCGTTTTAGTTCATTTATTTCATGAAAGTTTTATGAATTCATGAAGGCAAATAACTCTCATATTGCGCTACGAATGACGGGATAAGTCTCCCTAGTCCCCTGGGAAAAAAACCGGAATTCAAAATGGCGGCCAGAGGAGAAAAATGCGGAGGTCACGACTATGAAAGAATTTAGCATTTATTGAAGTGTGTTTTCTTAACTCTTCCTTGCCTACACTAGTCATGGCATCAAAATGGTTTCGATCTTAAGGGAGGGTAGTTACTTCATCAGAAGCGAGAGAAGCCAGCACAAGCACCGCCATGCAACGTTTGCGAGTCGTACTTTTCAGTTTACGGTCTCTAACTTTCAACAGTGAAACTTCTAGAGCGGTTGTACTTGACACCGTATTCGAACCTGTTTTCTGGGTAATTGATCATTTTGTTAGGATCCTTGGACCGGTAAGTGAGTTCCCATTATAAATAATTCATTCTAAAAAAGGAGGCAGTGACATTGTGATAAAATAGTCAACAAAATAAATATGCGCGTAGTGTGTTATGAACAATGCGCGTTTTTGTTACTATCATTTTCCATTTAAACTGATCAATTGGCTGAAGATTTTAGTCTAGACTAGGGAAACTGGGAATTGTTACTCAAGAATATAAAAAAATCAAATCGGTTTTGTTTTGGCTGGACTGTGTTAGTGACCTCAGTTGTTTCTTGAAAACAGTTACTCTAGGATAGGGGGGATTTGGGGAGTTTAGTCTAGGATAGGGTATCAAAATTCACTTGAACTAGCTCTGGTATAGGTTAAGGGTTCCAGGATCCCAGTGGCACATCCCCACCCAAAAAGTCCTAAAGTACCCCTCCCCGCCTCCTGGGGTGGATTTATATAACTTAATTTATGAAGTTTGGTAAAATTGAAGAACAGCTCCCCCAAGAATCCGTCCATCTGTCAGAAGACTGTCGATGGATGGCTCACCAGCTGTTGACTGACAGTCCACTGACAGACAATCAACAGCTCTTGGACAGTGGGCTGACAGATTAAAACTACCCCCTTTTTTTCAAAGAAACAGAAACTGAAACTTTATCTTTTTATCTTTTATGTAGTTGGTTAGTATGAACTCTCATGGTTACCGATATCTCAAAATGGTGAAAATCTTATCACTATTTAACAGCTGCCCGACAGTTTAACCACAGTAAGTCAACTCTTGGTTGTCTGTTGGCTGACTGTCTGTTGTCAGTCATCTACCAACAGACGGCGGACAGATTTTTTGGGAGAGCTAGCTGTCCTTCAATTTTACCTGAAGTTTAGCCTTGTGAAGTATCCAGGAAATGACTGAAAGCCCCCACTTGTTATTTTCATGTTGCAGGCTTTTGTGCTGCTAGTGATAGGATTAACAACATCTGTAGTAGTTATCTGGTATTCATTTCTGCTGCCTGCTATTCTGCTCTACACCACACCATGGATTGTGCTTCACATTGCAACAGCTCATTGGCTACTCATCAACATTGTTTTCCACTATTTTAAAGCTGTCTTTACATCACCAGGAAGAGCTCTCCAGGTACGACCATGCAATTGTAGGCAACAAGAGGAGCCTGCAATCCTAATCTTCAGGTTGTTGTTACACATGCATCGCATGTATGTAGCCAGCATTAATTTGTTTGGACTTCCACTTAAAATGAATGGAATGCACAGAACGCAATTTGATCGCTTGTGTTTGGACTTCCTATCACTCATAATCTGATCACGCATGTTTTGACCATCTATCATGTGAATCTTACACAAAGCACAGCATTGGAGCAAAAGTGTTTTAATGTTTGATCGTTGTCGTCCGCACTCTGTAACCTTCCATGTTGAAAATCTTTGTAGGATCTTTGCTGATCTGCAAAGATCCTACAAAGACAAAGATCCTCAAAGACAAGGAGCTTCAAAAGATCCTTAAGGATTTCATGAGGATCTTCTAATGATCTTATGAAGATCCTAGCAAAGATCCTTGCAAGATCTTAAAAGGATCCTTTCAAGGATCTTCACAAGATCTTTGTCAGGATCCTCAAGGATCCTTATAAAGGATACTACAAGGAGAAAGGATCTTTATAAGGATCTTTCAAAGATCTTTGTCAGGCTCCTTGAGGAATTTGTAACTTGCATATTTCAAGGATCTTTAAAGGATCTATATAACGATCTTTGAAAGATCTTCATTGCAGGCAAGTATCTTTTAAAAGTCTTTGACATGATCCTTCATTATCCTCAAGGAAATTGTGGGGATCATACTATAATCTGTCAAAGGTCTATGTCTGGATCTCCTATATGTGAACTTCAGGCTTTCTTTTCGCAACTGCAAAAGTTGCATACTATATAACTGCGATGATCTTCTTTCATATAATAATAATAATTATTGTTCACTCTGCAGTTCACAGATATGATTTCAATATATTCATAACTTCATCATCATCCTTTCATGGGTTTGGAACAAACCAATTTAATGACCTGCTCTCAGTTGGCTTGTTAGCTTAATTGGTAGAGTGCTGCATCGGCATTGCAGAGGTCAAGGGTTCAAATCCCATACAAGCCTGAATTTTTTTCAGGCCTTCTTTTTGCAACTTCAAAAGTTGTGCATATAACTGCGATGATCTTCTGTCACTTCACTTCACTCCGCAGTTCATTTATATGTTGTAGTTAATTTTTTATCTCAGGTAATTTTTATTTTTCTTTTGTTTCAACTTCGTTAGCATACATTACCATACCCAAAAACAAAAGAGAAACAATAATTACCTGAGATAAAAAATTAAGTACAACATATACATTATACGTGTGTGATTTTCATATAAGCATAACTTCATCATGAATGATTTCTCACAAATTATTTTTAATGAGATATTTCCTTTCTTTCAGGATTCAAATTCAAATTTAGAAAATGTGAAAAGTGGCAAATACTCTATTTGTAAAAAATGTAAGTAAGAAATTATGTACATTTGTATGTTGTGGTTTAATTTTGTTTTCCTTTTTTTCTGAGTATGGTAATTTTAGTAATGACTTTGAAACAAAGGCAACTAAAATTTCAACCAAAGACAAACTATAACTTACAACAGCAAGATATGAAGCAATACCTAATTAACCCGTTCCTGCAAACTAACTTCATGAAGAACAGCTTTAGTTATAGCAGAGCAGTTCTCTAGAACAACCTGCCCTGTGATATGAGAGAGGCTAAATCTTAAAGTCTATTTAAACGACTGGCTCATTTGAATTTCTGATTTTTTAGGTACTGTGACTACACAGCATTCATTAAAAATAGGTCTTAGTTAGGTTAGTTGTAGATAGTTTTGCATATTGTTTAGGGTAGTTTAGGTTTATTTAAAATTTTTTATACTCCTGATGAATTTTACCGTCTTTAAATGAAGTATTATTCTATTCAATTCTATACAAGGGAACAGGGTGGGGGGGGGGGCAGTTTTTGGCCCTTCAGGCCTCAGTTTGGTCTAAAAATAAGAGGGGAGGGGGGTTCCAGGCATCCTCCTGCGCCCCTCCCCTGAATCCACCAGTGTATTTACCTTGACTGTAGGAGAGGGCTATGCTGTGAGCGTGGACTACGTAATTGCCTGTGATATCATAGCGTATAATCAAAATAATTTTGACTGTAAGTTATTACTTATTTCAGGTATTCAAATTAAACCTCCAAGATCCCACCATTGTTCAATATGCAAAAGGTGAATTAACTGCGTCATTTCCTTCTCATCTTTTAATTTCTTCACAAATAATTGAATTCTAATGTTGATGGCCTTTATAGTAACTTATAATAATTTCGCCTTTTGTACTGATGTTGATGTCATGGAACTTCAAGTCAAATTTGGAAAAGCAACATATAAAACAACCATAAATTAAACCCCTACATAAGAATTGGTTTTTGGGCAAATTTCAGTCATTGTAAATTTTGTGCTTTTAATGGTTTTCATGGTTGCTCTTGTACTGTCAATTTAGCTCTCTTCACTTTTCTCTAAACTGATCATGCTCAACAATCATCATATGACCAATGCACTAATATTTAATCGGATATAATAATATTATTTTATTAAAGGTGTGTTCTCAAGATGGATCACCACTGTCGTATCCTTTATTGCGAAGTTTTTGTAATAAATATAATTATCATTTCATGTGTGTCTGATAAAGAATATGGTGCTTCAAAATCAATTGACACTTTCAGTCAAGATAAGTCCAGCACTAAAAACTACCATTACTTGACATTATAAAAAGTTGTAGCTTACAAATTAAATTCAGGTGAAAACGATTTCAACCTACAGTCAACTCCCTTTATAGTGGACACTGTAGGGACCTCAAAGTAGGGTCCTTGTTAGCGAGAGTCCGTAATAGCAGGAGTTTATTTCAGTCAAATGTTTGTAATTTATTGTTGCCTGGGATTTAGCTGCTGTCCGTATTATCAGGGTGTCTGTAAGGGGAGAGTTGAAGTGTATTTTGATTCTCCACATCCCTCGTCTCCCACAGCAGGCCCACATAAACTTTATACTTTACCAATCATATGACTGTTAAGTTCAGAAGAAATCTATGGCAATATCAGAAAGGTAAATTACACATGTATGTTATCATTATTTACTGCAATGGATATTATAATATCCATCAAATGGGGAGCAAGAGTGGAAAAAGATCTACATGTAAAGGTGGAAAAAATGTAAAATAATGTAATTAAAAGTGTCCATCTTATACACTAGAGACTGTGATGGGAAAGGTACATCTAGCGATGTTATATTTGGCACTCAGGTAAATTATACATGTGTACCTATCTAAAACTTTATAATATATTTTTATAACGAAGTTCTGTAAAACCAATACAAGTAACTGATTAAAAGTAAATATGCACTCTTCTACTTACATAAAGCTGCCACCCTCTATTTTTGCACCAGTTACCTGAATCTTACTTAACAAAATTGTCAATAAATCACTGAAAACAGGCCATTTAAATAAGTTTTGGCTGTAGTTGCACTAAATTATTGAAATTTCCTTGACACTATCTGGTAGCATGGATAAACAACTGTGTTGGTCATTTTAATCATCAACATTTTATATTATTTTGTATATTTATGTGTCTTGGAACCCTGTATGTAACTGTTTCTGCTAGAAATCTGTTCATCATGCACTTCTTCCATGACTGGGTAAGTTTAAAACTTGCATGGTGCGTTTTACTGTACATTGTATATAACTTTTTGAAGTGGTGTCTGAGTTTTGCGAAAAAATTGAATCTCCCCTTAATAGAATAGCTAACACCACCAGGCTCCTCATATGTCTGAAACTACAGCAATCTCTCCAGCTGGCTGAAAATACTGACAATAGTGTAGTGTTTTTGTACCTACATTTTTGGACGAAGAGGTGTTTAAAAAGAGTTTGACAATTTCTTACCCACAGGATGCCCTTGCTGCAGAATTGGCCCCCTGTGACTCCTCAACCCACCCTGCCCTGATCAATGTTGTTCATTGGACACAAAAATAATCCAGCAGGACTTAAACATTGTTTTTGGTTAGGAAGGGGGAATTATTTGCATTGTATAATCGGTACTTTAAGAACTGTATTGTTAAATTGAGGCAAGACATACAGTACAAGATGCATTTCTTAACATTTTTGTCCAGGTTTTAGACTGCTGGTTTCTAAAATATTAATTTGTTTTACATTTATTCTAAATTTTCTTGTTTATTGCTTTTCAGTCAAGGGCAAGCATTAATAATGGGAAAAATAATTCAACTCTTTTACATGTATCTTCAAGAGTCAAGGTAATGCCTAGGCCAAACGTCAAACTTTTCATGAGACAAACCAAACTTAGTGAGTTAGGTGAACAAGAAAAGTTTGACGTATGGCTTAGTTAAGTTCGTCTGATGAGTCTGAATCGTCCAACACGTTCTATCCACCTGAATGTCTGAAGATCATCTCCCGGGCAAACAAAGATCATCACATGTATGCGACAAACTAAACTAATAAATTAAAAATTTGCATGATGGTGTTTATTTAGCCTCGTTGGGAGGAAAAATTATTACAGGTCTGATTCAGTTGATTGGTTCGATGTGTCTGAAGTTTGATGTCTGACCCAAAAGACGATCTTAACTTGATTTAGGTCGACCCAAGGAGAGTTTATTTTGTCTCATGAAAAGAAGATAAAGATGCAGTAAACAAAACTACCAATAAATTTTCATGCAGACAAAAGTACGTAAAAATAATGAATAAACCGTGGACAGAAATTATTTAACTTCTAATTCCTTGCATTTTGTTCACAAGGTTAGATTCTCTGCCCAGTATTACAAAGACCATGTGCATCTTGAATAGAGTGACTAAAAAACAAGTACTGCAGAATTCCTGATGTTACTGACTTTTTCTTTCAGCCAGCTGGTTCTTATCGCTATAAGGAAGAAAGTGCTTCAAAGTCAGAACATCGATGCATCCTCTTTGTTTTCATGTTATNCATGGTGCGTTTTACTGTACATTGTATATAACTTTTTGAAGTGGTGTCTGAGTTTTGCGAAAAAATTGAATCTCCCCTTAATAGAATAGCTAACACCACCAGGCTCCTCATATGTCTGAAACTACAGCAATCTCTCCAGCTGGCTGAAAATACTGACAATAGTGTAGTGTTTTTGTACCTACATTTTTGGACGAAGAGGTGTTTAAAAAGAGTTTGACAATTTCTTACCCACAGGATGCCCTTGCTGCAGAATTGGCCCCCTGTGACTCCTCAACCCACCCTGCCCTGATCAATGTTGTTCATTGGACACAAAAATAATCCAGCAGGACTTAAACATTGTTTTTGGTTAGGAAGGGGGAATTATTTGCATTGTATAATCGGTACTTTAAGAACTGTATTGTTAAATTGAGGCAAGACATACAGTACAAGATGCATTTCTTAACATTTTTGTCCAGGTTTTAGACTGCTGGTTTCTAAAATATTAATTTGTTTTACATTTATTCTAAATTTTCTTGTTTATTGCTTTTCAGTCAAGGGCAAGCATTAATAATGGGAAAAATAATTCAACTCTTTTACATGTATCTTCAAGAGTCAAGGTAATGCCTAGGCCAAACGTCAAACTTTTCATGAGACAAACCAAACTTAGTGAGTTAGGTGAACAAGAAAAGTTTGACGTATGGCTTAGTTAAGTTCGTCTGATGAGTCTGAATCGTCCAACACGTTCTATCCACCTGAATGTCTGAAGATCATCTCCCGGGCAAACAAAGATCATCACATGTATGCGACAAACTAAACTAATAAATTAAAAATTTGCATGATGGTGTTTATTTAGCCTCGTTGGGAGGAAAAATTATTACAGGTCTGATTCAGTTGATTGGTTCGATGTGTCTGAAGTTTGATGTCTGACCCAAAAGACGATCTTAACTTGATTTAGGTGGAACCAAGGAGAGTTTATTTTGTCTCATGAAAAGAAGATAAAGATGCAGTAAACAAAACTACCAATAAATTTTCATGCAGACAAAAGTACGTAAAAATAATGAAAAAACCGTGGACAGAAATTATTTAACTTCTAATTCCTTGCATTTTGTTCACAAGGTTAGATTTTCTGCCCAGTATTACAAAGACCATGTGCATCTTGAATAGAGTGACTAAAAAACAAGTACTGCAGAATTCCTGATGTTACTGACTTTTTCTTTCAGCCAGCTGGTTCTTATCGCTATAAGGAAGAAAGTGCTTCAAAGTCAGAACATCGATGCATCCTCTTTGTTTTCATGTTATGCTCTAGTGTCACATTAGCTCTTGGAATTCTAACTGGATGGCACTGTAGGTTAATCAGCTATGGAGAGACATCAATTGAATGGCATTCTAACAGAGATGAAGCAAAAAGATTACGGAAAAAAGGTTTGGTGAGTAATAAACTTCACCAATTGAAAATCCAATATTCATTCCGTGAATGTGTTATTGTACAGGCACCTCTTAGTCTGCTACATAGCCGTTTTTGGTGTCGTCACGCACCTAAAAACGGCTGTGTAGCAGACTAGGCACCTCTGGGATCCTAAGTTTGCATTCTTAACCCATTCAATCCTGTGCCACAGATAGAGAGCTCCTGGGCCAAAGTTGGACATGGACTTCTGGCTTTCTATGCAGCCTCAGAAATTTGAAGTGGACAGGCTGCAAATTATAGTAGTTGCGAAAAAAAAAAAAAAATTAAGTGTCGTAACTGTTCATCAGTAGGATGCCTAAAATGTGTGCAATTCCACAATTGGTTTCGGCTCCAAATTACAAATCATTATAAATCCAATACCAATTGCAGAACATTTTAGGAGGAGCCACCCACAATGTGAGCACAGTCACGGACAACACATAATTATATTAAAGTGACGAAAATATCACAAAGTAAAATTAAGACATTATGAACTAAATGCACACGCCAATAAAATATATAATGCATGTGCACAAAATAAAATGGTGCGTGCACACGTACCAAGATAGAACTGAAGAACAAATCTAAGTAATAAAATAATTAATGTAAGGATCGATACAATGGTGCAATTCAAGCCTGGATTGCTAATTTTATCTCCCACAAGGCTGCACCATACTTCTTGACAGATACCAGTTACCAAATTAGGAAATTGCTGCACTTGCACATTATCTTGCTTCCAGAAGTGCTCTCACTTGTTGTCTAGCCTGAGATAACAGCAGTCACTTGGCAATGCCACCACTGGTTTCCCCCTGAAATGACATCTGAGAAACAAGTGCAGAAATTCCATGCTGATGATGCATCTGACTACCCAGATCTGGGTAGTGCCTCTGATTACTTGATAATTTGCTTCATCTAATCGCCAGGGCCAGGTTGTTCGAAGGTGGGTTAAGGTACCCAGGGTTAGTGCGAAATTTGAACTCAGATATGAGAGCTTAAAAAACAAATTCAGTTTAATTCTCTTTGCCTACAATTTGATGATTGGATACTCTAAAAAAATATAGAAAATTATCCAAGTGAGTGCTTTTGATGAAAAGAAAAAGAAGCCTTGGTTAAAATTTAACCCTGGGTTAGCGCTAACCAGCATTCGAACAACTGGGCCCAATACCGTACTACCCAGATGTGGGTAGTGATACTTTATCCTCAGTACAGAATTCTTCACTTGTTTCTCAGACGTCATTTTGCAGGGAAACCAGCAGTGTTGTCATGAAATGTCAGTTGTTTTCTCTGGCTAACTGTTGGCCTGACTACAAAATAATATTGTAGCTCTGCCTGGATAAGTATGATTTCTGTAAGACGTGTGTAAATAATATATTTTTGCTTGGAATTTAGCTCCCACCCTTATTACCAGGATGTGTGCATTGTGATCAGACTTGATTGTACACTAACCATCTTAATAATAAATATCAATTTATTTATTTTCAAAGTATATTTTTCTTTTGATGCCAGATTTTTAACAATCCCTATAATTTTGGGGTTTGGAATAACTGGAAAATGCTTTTAGGACTTGTGAATGGAAGGTAAGCTTAAACCTTTGGGTATACAACGTAACTGAAAAATAATCATAATAAATTATTATTTTACACAGTACTCGAACTTAACGGTCGTCCACTAGTCCAAAACAAGTAAAAAAATTCCGAAAACGAGTAGTTTTCTTCCCCACTAGTCCTCTGGACAAGTAAAGTCATCACCTGCTGAGAAATACGAAAATGTTATTTTTTTTTTGTATTGTACTAAAAAGTGCTAAAAGCCTTGAAAGAAACAAAGACTTGCCAAAGGCAAACATTTAAAAAACAAACAGGTAAAAAGTGTTTGGCATTCTCTTGCCAAATAAAAGTCTGGGTTCTACTTGAAACAAAATGCTCTGTTGGATACAAGATGGCGGCTTTTCTTTTCGAAGGTCCGTATCTATCGTCCTTTGGTGAATCAAAATGTGAGCCAAAGTATGTTAAAACGGAAACAAGTGCAAAGCTAACTGTACTCTTTCTTTGGAGGAAAGAAATCATCAGATAATAAAGAAATTAACACAGAATTTAAACACCTGCTTTGATCAAAAAACTCGCAAGTTCCAGAAGGCATGGAAGTAATATATCAAACATGAGATGCAGTGTTTCATCACCAGATGAAACACCGAGAAGAGAGTTGAAAATACGACGCGCAGCGGAGTATTTTTGACGAACTTCGAGGTGTTTCATCTGGTGATGAAACACTGTGTCGAATGTTTGATATTTCTTCTCAAACAAAATCATTTTTGAAGGAGAAATTAAGGATGCAAATACTAAGCAGTGTTTCATCCGATTTCCAAACACTCATTAAACATTAATTTCCTTTGTATTTTCTTAATGAATTATTAATGAGTTTGAGAAGGATGAATAAAAATGGCTGAGGTTTGACAGAAAAAAAAAATGTTATGCAAGTTTTGTAGAGAATTCCCGAAAAAGGAGAAACATGCAATACTCCCTGAGGATCCGAATGAATATTAAATTTCCAAATAGACAGCCTGAAAGCACATGAGGCCAGTGAAGTCAGTGAAAGACATACTGTAAGACACTTGTTTTGGCAGATATGTACGGCTAAATAAACACTATGGTTGTGTTTATTTGATATTTTCAGTTTCATTTATTAATTTGCAGACACAAAATGGCATACATTCAAAAGAAAATTTGGAAATGATAAGAGTGATTAGTAGTTTTGCTGATGGACCAGTAAATTTTAATCCTAATGGTCCTGCGGAAGACCACACACAAAAGTTAATTTCGAGCACTGTTACAGTACCTTGTTACGATGTTATGGTTAACCACGTAACCTCATATTGCCAGTGACACTTGTATCCTTCAGCTCAGATGTTTTAGGGCAAATAAGTGACTGATAATCAGATTTTAGATTGACAGTATTTACCGACATTGCCGATCTTTACATAATAATTATGTAAGGATCGGCAATGTCTGTAAATACAATCTAATATCTGATTATCAATTGATCATTAATTATTTATTATTGTATTTTCTTTTTCTAGGTCTTGGTTATGTATTCTGATACCTTCCACACACCCTCCTTATGGGGATGGAATCTCATGGCACCCATTACCAAACGATTTGAAAAAATCCAGACGAGGAAAACTACACATAGTTTAAAATTATTTTAAACTATGTGTAGTTTTCCTTGTCTGGATTTTTTCAGATTATTTAATATTTTGTTTGTACCATAATTTTCACTGCAGTCAAAAGACAGTAGTGTGCTGTGTAGAAATCAACATCGCCATTTGTCTGTCATTCAAAGCACATATTGTCCAAGTTAAGTTTAAAATAAAGATTATTTATTTGTAAAGTTTACGTAATTCTTACATTGTTGTGACATCAAAAAAATCTACTTGCTGTGTTAATTTGTTGTACAATTTTTACCAATTTTAAGGTCACAGTCCTGGCAAAAGTAGATCCCATCGTAATACAGGGCCCCCATAAGGCCCTCTGAAAATAAGCCCTTCAAAAGGGCCTTTTTAATTTTAAAAAAATATAAGCTCTGAGGTTCTAATTTTCTGAATTCAATGGTATGGTACTAATTTTAATTTTCTAATGCACAACTTGTACTTGTAACCTGTACCTTAGAGTATGATAAGTTTCAGCCAATAACTACGATATGATAATAAGCAATCAAATAACCAACAAATCAATATTTTTATTTTTATTAGAGTTAGCTATGTAGAATCAATTGTAAAGGTATACTTATCAATTTTTTGGTAAAAAATAGTGGTTTTAAAAAATAATAAATAAACAAAGAAACCGCAACATTAGAGGTCGGCCATGACTAAAAAAAATATGGGTAGAAACTTAAAACGCTGTTAGCTTGATTAAACTGACATTTATTTATTGGCATGATTGTAGAATTAGTCTCTTGATCTTGAATTCATGTTTATGATGTGTGTGAGACAGTTGCAATGCAACTACTGTATAAGCACCTATTATTTAGAGCACAAAAAAACTCATTGCATGCATTTGTAAACAGCCTTATGTGAATCGTAGTGCTGATTTGCTATTATCTTGATTGATTATTCTTTCAACCATTTCCAAAGCCATCTCTCCATTATCAGAAGGAACCATATGCCCTGCCAAAAGGATATAATAAAGTTCTAAATTCCTGTAAGCCTTGTAAAATGCTCCTGTATGCCTATCCTTCTGGCCAGATGGTGGATAAAGTGGCACTCGGTCAGTATTTTGAAATTCTTGTAGTCCATCCCAATCAAGTTTTGCAATCCACTTCTCTGCGCCTAGGGTATCGCAGATCATGTCCAACTGACCTTGATAGATGACAACTTTCAGACCATAACTCAGAAGTTTGCTGACATCAGATATCACAGGCTTCATGAAATCTTCTGACTGATATGTAAAGACCTCACCAGATTGGCCTCCCCAGGTGACATTTCCAGGTATTATACGTAACTTCTTTCTGATTGGTCCATTCATGAGTTCTGTCAAGGGGTCAGCATGGAGGAGACCAACATGGCGATTATATAAACGATCAAGGACAGCATTCTTTAGGGACTGAGACGTGGGGAAGGCTGGAGTATTGTGTTGAAGAATGTTATACACGTTGACATTGTCAGTTTTCTCAGCAATGACAGCCTCTGTTTTATCCCAGAGTTCGGTGGCTTTTTCATATTGCCCCTTGGCAACGGCATCAGCAGTTTCTTGGGCTGCACTGTTCACTAACTTCAGATCTTTATCATCAAGTAGTGATACAGCATAAAGATAGGGTCCCCAGGTTACCACTGAGTCAACTGGTGAAATCCATGAATCTCCTAGAGCTACTCCTTTGAAGTTGCATTTGATCATTCCAGCCTCAATAGCTTGATATAGAGCCACACCAAAAGCTGATGTCATTTTGCCTCCATAAGACTCACAAAAAATGTAAAAAGGTATCTCCTGGAACACAGGTTGCTTATCCAGGAAAGCCTTGAACAGAGTGACAAGATCATTTGCTATCCCTATGAAGAATATGAATGCTCAATCACCATAATAATCCATTGATTACAGTCTGACTGATGAGTCACATCATTATGTATTATTACTACTCAATGATACATTTACCTATACTGGCTGATATTGTGCAGGTTTAGTCTTTTCTTGGGTAGCCTGTGTCATCAGTAGCTGTTTTCAATTCAGAATTTATGCGCATTTTCTTAATGAAGCCAATGTCATATGTTAAGCATAATATGCCCTGCCAAATAATTATGAACAGTCATTAATTTTACACATTTTTTTGTCTAGTGAAGGTAGGCTTGGAGAAACTGAGACACTGCAAAGGGGGAAAACTGTGGAAAAAATAATAATTTTTTTCTGTGACTTCCCTCGACATGTATATCTTGCACTCCATGCTTGCCTGAAAAACCTGAAAAAACTGCGCCTGTTCTGCAGGCTACAATGGAATTTCACAATAATTTGTCCCAGTACATTAAGAACCTAAAAATCCTATAAAGAACTGAAGTCCTTGGCAAGCTCATATTTGGCAGTTAAAAAAATTGCATTTTCCTAATCCTGGCGAGTATTAGTTTTAAACCTACAGGAAACAAATAATAAATGTAAAATTTTTTAAGCGTACAAAGAGACATCCACTCCACCCC